GCTGAAGTACATTTAATGAGTGTGGCAAGATAAATGAAAATATTGGAAATTGATCTTACTATCACATGAGTAAAAAGAAAACTTTTGAAATAAAAGTATGTGCTTAATCATATAAGAGTCATTTGCTTAATGAATTTAATTTATTGAAATAAGGGAATAATTTTTTTAGAAAGTACAAAACAAATTAATAATTTTTGCATTTAAAGATCATTGAGGATTCTAAAATTTAACAATCTAGGTTTAGGTCTAGTTTGAGACAAAAGCTGATTTCAAGATAAAGATGACATCACATTCAATAACTCGACCATGCTTTTCAACTTGCATTAGACTTTATAAAAATGCTTAAAGTTTCATTTTTTAAGAAGATTACTTAGTAATCTAGTAGTACAACTTTTCTTCAAAGACAACTGGTTCAATCTACTGTTCCGTTGCATCTAAAGAGTAATAAATCTAATAAAGATACTTAGAGAAAATCAACTATACATGCATTTGGATCTAAGATTTTTATGAAGGCATGTAGTAAGTGCGTCAAGCTAGCCATTATGCAAGCATCAGAAGGCCTACAAGTGACTAGCAGCAAGATAGTAAATAGTGTGGGAAGGAGGAAAGGAAAAAAGAAGAGGAGACTGTAATTCGTGTGGTGCGTCTTTTGAATTTGTTTCTTTTATAAAAATTGTCAAGTATGCCATGTGTTTGAGTAGGGATTTACATATAATTATGGACAAAGAAAAAAAAAATAATGATTGTGATGTACATGAGTTTTATGGAGTAATTTGTATAAACAAAGAGAATTTAGTTACAAAAATAATTAAAATGTTAAGCGTTGCATCATAGTTGTTACACCCCGACTGACCCCTCCTTTAAAGGTCGACTGAGGTTCGCAGACAATTCGACCAGATTAAAATCATACTTGTCAAAATATACCTCATCAGCATAAATACGCCCTTTTGATACAGACCATTCTTCTTTTTTGTTGTTCCTATCACCTAAATCCTCCTTCCACATCGTTGATTTCGTGCTAAAAGACTTTACAGAAGCTCACAAACAAGTTCAATGCTTCTGAATCAAGTCCGATGCCTGCTACGGCTACCAGAAATAAAAAGTAACATAAAATTGAGGCAAATATTAAAACGAAAACAAAGAAGAAAATGAATGTATCAATTAACGTGAAAGACGGATTTGTACTCGCTGATTTATCCCTGGAAGCCCATACTGTGAGTTGCGGCTTCCTTGATGTCATTTTGTTCGGGCCCTGTTCGCCCCATCACTATCAAGTTGAGCGAAGAAATGAGGAAGAGGGAGATAGGTGTGGCACTTGAAGAAAATAATTATATATAGGTTTTCATATGATTCCACATTTGACATTCATGCATTTAGAATTTCTTGCATATATTGGATGGATGCTTGCTTTAAGCATATGAAAAAAAGTTGACTACTCTAAAAATATATGTGATGTGATGATATGATACAGATGAATATGCTTATGAAATCATTACTTGCAGCTATTCATTTGTTATGATTCATGCATTATATACGAAATGTCTGTGATAAGTGATTGATATAGGAATGATGATTTAAAGGTCATAAGTTATGTTAAGAGTGGACTATTAGATAATTTCTTGAAGTATACTATATATGGATATGGTATTCCCGACTACTGGTCAGACGGTGACGAAGTTCTGGGAGATGTTGTGATTAGAAGGTGACAAAGTGTAGGGAACCATTGTTATCATGAGAGCTATTGATAATTGTTATGTTAGGGAGACAAACCTGATAATTGTTATGTTAGGGGGCCCAACCTTTATCAATACATAATATGGCCTTTGGGGCAGGGTGATGAGCCATGATATGACAGGATATGAAAATAGTTGAGACATACACATTCACAAGTGACATTGCTATGAAAAGGTTTATGATTCTTACGAACATATTTATGGTTACATGTTGATGAATTACACATAAATGAATGATATATATGTTTTATACAGCAGTCAAAATTTCTTTTACACTACCAATTTTTCTTTACATGTGTTATACAATCATAGCATGTTATGACTTGTGTGTGAACATATATAGACATAAGAGCATGCACGTCGTCTCTCTTTTCGTGTATAAAATATTATTTTAATCTTGATTATTTTGTTGAACTAGTTGTTACTTACTATATGTGATTTACTTATAGAAAGAAAAAAGGAGAACTGGGGCGAGTAGTTAGGTGTAATTTGTACATATTTTGCATTTATAATTGTGCGACCTTGTATAGACTTTTGAGTACGTATTTTATTTATGTTGGATTTAATAACTTTGTATATTATATATGTTTTGATGATATGGTTTACATGCTTCCAAGTATAAATATGAATAAATATGAGATGTAATTATGACGTATGTTTGTAGCGATCTAATTAGACTAATTCATCACTTAAGAGTCCTAATTGTGTAAGTTAGGATGAAAATTGGTGAGAGTTAGTCTGACCATATAGTCTGCCTCTATCGCGTCGTAGTTGACCCTAAAAGGGGTGTTACTTGGCGTGTGATAATAGCTATCTCTAAAGTTAAATCTAATAGAAAGAGATTGTAATTTTTTAAATCTAACGTGTATTATGGAGAAAAGCTTTATAAAATTAAAATTGATAGTGAAAGCTATATAAATACTATGTATAAATCTTCCTAAAATAGAATTAATTTGAAACCAACCATATCTAAATCAATGTAAGATAGCTTCGGAATATAAAACTATTATTATGTGTCTTAAAAGTACTTGTCTAGATAAACATTCTAATAAATTGCCACTCTTAAGAGTACACTATTGAATTAGTTCAGGTGTTACTATTGACTAATTTGCCCCATGATAAGAAAAATTTATTGAAATATATTGAACTGAAACAGCATATCAATGAGCTATTCAAAAGGAGATTTAACAGGAAAAGCATGAATCCATTTTCTAAATCCTCTTTGCTTATATCTAAAAAACTATTAGTTGCAGCATATATGTAGACATTAGAACCATCAATAGATTCACCATCAAATACAGATTTTTATGCCTCATTTGAATAAAATGCTAGATTTGATGAATGATGCTGTGATACAATTTAAAAAACATTCAAGGAATGAATACCATTAAACGAATATAGGCAAGTTAATGAGTGAAAAACTGTTTTTAAAATCAAAGATGGAATATAAATGGTTGGTGATCTCTTATAGGTTAATTAATGTAACTACTACTTTCATGACAATAACAAGCTATGTCTGTAATATTTCATTTACAATTTTATTATTGCTCATTATTATGATATTATATATAGCAAGATAAGGAATGATTATTTAGTGCATTGGAGAAAAGTTTTTGGTGATTTTATGAGCTAAAAATTTATATTTAAATTTGAATAAATATAGTTTTGTGACTCCATCTAGAATCTTCCTAGAATTTATTGTGTTCAAAGATAAGTTATCTATTCAATTTGAAGAGGTAAAAAAAAATATGTTTGGCCAAAACTTATTAATTACATCATATTTGGAGTATTCATGGTTTGGTCAATTTATATGCATGACTCATTAAAGGGCTTAATATTGTTATGACTCCGATTAAAAATTGTATGAAAAATGAGGAACTTAAAATGACTAGATATGTTGATTGTCAATTTCTAACATTAAAAGATACTAATGCACATATGCTTAAATCATATGATTTTAATAGGGCATTTAAAGTTTCTTGTAATGCGTTCAAAAAGGGTATTAGAGAAATCTTATGTCAAGAGACACATACTACTGTATTCTTTAGTAATAAATTTAATGATGCTAAATAAAACCATTCAAATCATTATAAATTCTATTTTTCTACGTAAATGTTAGATGTCAGAAATATTAGCAATAACTTCAACAATTCGCATTATACTAACTATCAAACTTTGACATGTCTAGGTTCTCAAAAAAGTTATAGCATACATAAGCAAAATGGATTAAGTTTTTATAAACAATTTTTTTTATCCATAGACATTGTGATCAATTTGAAATAAAAATGTTGATGCGCTGAGCAAAGTTTTTGTCATTCCACATACATGTATTTTAAGATGACTTGCATTGCTCGTATCAAAGAAGACAACTTCACCTGTAAGAGTTTTGGTGAAATTTATAAAGACATATACGATGACTTCTATTTCTTTAAAAAAGATTTTGTAATTAAAAATGTTGATTGCGCATTCTTGATATTTTGCTTATGAGTTTTGGATTTTAGAATTATGTGCTAGGGGTGCTATTGAGTATTTTGATAGAGAGAAAATCATTGAAATGGCTATGAATAAGTATGTCTAGTGAAGTCTAAGAACATATGAAGAACATCAATTATATGAATCTCAAGCAATAAAATAGAAAAAATGAATATACACCTCTACCAATTCTATATGAACTTAGTATGAATTTTATATTAAATTTATTGCATATATTGAGAAAAAAAGATTCTTTTTTAAGTAGTTGATCTTTTCTCAATAAAGCAATATTCATACCAAGTCATAAAATAGTCGATGCACCTTACATTACAAAATAATATTTTAACAAGATTCTTAAATTATATGATTTATCCAGAACAATTTGCTCTAATCGAAAAGTAGAATTCATAAGTTATTCATTGAAATTCTTTGGAACGAATTACGACAGCTTAAATTTTCAATTTTTTACCTTATATAAATTGATGGCCAAATCAAAGGGGCAAATAGACCTTTAGGATATTTGTTATGTTTTCACATAAAAAACACATAAAATTTGATATTGCTTATGATAGAGTTTGCAAGCAATTAACAGTCGATAAATCTACAAATATAAATTCATTTGAAATTGTCACAGGGTATCAACCTAAAGCTAATATGGCATTCTTGTAGAATCTAAGCATTAGGTATTTGCTCTGCATGTCAATATAAATTACTATCAGGAAAAGTGCTTTGGCGAACATACATACCAAATTCAGTTATCAACTTAAACACGTTAAAGGCAAAAAGCTTCCTAACCTCCTAAGGAATCTCTCAGTGGCTGAATGAACTCCGGAAATTCCATGTCAACAAGAGCTTTAAAAACATCCTCTGCATTGATAGTTTGTCTCTTAGATTCTTTGCAAATGTCATTTGCCCTGAACCAAATGGAACTCAAGAGAAATCAGCGAAAGACACGGATATACGTTCACTTTAATGAAGACAAGCACCAAATAAAGCATAAAATCCCTTCCTTCAGGGCAGATAAAACCAAGAGATTAACATTGCAAGCGCTTTGAGCTAAAGAAAATCCAGAAACCCATCCGAAGAGGTGAAACCAAAAAAACCCTAGCAAAGAAGTGGTTTCAGACGGCAAGAGGGGGGCTTACGTGGCGGAAAGATAGTGGATGAATATTCGGGCGCTCTCAGAGAAGGCTAGAAGGGTGTCCTTGTGAAGCATCATCTCCTCATCTCCAACTTCGTCGGATTTTGCCTTCTCGCTGGAAGATGATGAAAGTTGGGAGAGTTTGTCCTTCACCAACCTTCGTACAATAGTCTTCGGCAGCTCTTCAACCACAACAGATGGCGCAGGCATCGCGGACTTGCCCTCCGCGGCATCACCTTTCGCCATGAATCTCACTCCCTCTCTAGTCTCTCCGATCTTGCTGGCTTCTCTGATTAAACCAAACGATAACGACTGGGGCCTCCACGGACAAGAAGAAATCTTTCCCGCCTTGGTTTTTTCGTAGACAAAATATTCGTAAAGGAAAGAAAAGGGGATTTACCTACATACCACGGTAAACTCTTCTTTAAAGGTACAGTAAAATAAATAGATTAATTTAAAATCATTAGGGATTTTTACAGAAATTATTGCCTACGGAGTGCTGTCTTGATTGGCTGCGTCTGAACAACTGAGGTGATATATTAATCGCGTGAGATTTTTAATCACTCCAACGGTTCTTACATCGCGTCTATTCTTGAGAAACAGTTAGGGCTGTTAAAAAAGCTACAACTGAGGTGATATATTAATCGCGTGAGATTTTTTATCACTCCAACGGTTCTTATATCGCGTCTATTCTTGAGAAACTGTTAGGGCTGTTAAAAAAGCTCGTTAAAAAAGCTGTTGATCGCAAACAGCTTGTGTTCGGCTCGTTTAGTAGCTTGTGTTCGGCTCGTTCGTTAAATAAATGAGCGTTTTAAAGAAACGGGGCCGAACACGAACAAGTTTTTAAAACTCGAATTATAAACGAGCCGAACACGAACAGCTTTTTGTTTGCTCGTGTTCGGCTCGTTTTAGCTTGAAATTATAATATATATATATAATTTATTATATAATAATATATTACATATATTTATATCTAAATTTAAATTATAATATCTCGTGTGGTAATGTGGTTAATGCATTCTTTTATATACATGTGGTGTAGGTTCGATTCCCACACTTTACATCTATCTTTTTCAATTTAATTTTTCCGAGCCAATTTCGAACTGAACACAAACACGAATACTTAAATCGAGTTGAACACAAACACACTGTTCACGAGCCAATTTCGAACACAAGCTGATTTCGAACACAAGCTATTTCGAACGAGCCGAACACGAGCCAAGCCTGAGCTCGTTTAAGCTCTGCTCTTTTACAGCCCTAGATGCAATTCTGCATCCAGACTCCAAACACAATAATTTTTTTGTTTTTACATACCAAGCCTACAAAGTCATGAATTTTAACTATTTTGACTAAATAATAAATTTAAGTATCATTGACACTTACGACACCTTTTCACACTTCCGCTCTCCCATCTGAAACCCTCACCCAAAACCATCGCCTTTGCAACGAATCGTCGCAATACTGTTACCTATAGAGCTAGTTGGGAAAGCAAAGATCTCGGAAACTCGCATTATTCGCCTCACACAAACTTCAACTTCTCTTCGAGCTTCATCTCTCTCTGCGATTTTTCTTCCCTCTCAACCTCCGTCACTTCGTGCTATGAAGTGAGCCACTGATCTTTCCTTGTCATCGCTTCATGCAACTTGCGGAGGCAACCCATTGACTGGTCGAGCAAGGGCGGCAGTGGGAGGGAAGAGTGACAACAATTTTTTCTGCCATCATTCAAGTCAACTTTTTGCATCGACAGAAAGGTAACATTTTGTTCTGTTATTAGTAGTAATGAACATGTAAGGTACATTTTATTGCATTATTCATAGGGTTTCTCTTTTTATAGGCGCAAAACTTGTCTTGTTGTTGGATTGGTGTTATTGACTATAACCAACCCACAGCACGTTGACATGCCCCCGAATGCAATTTGTCCTATATTCAAAAAGAATATATAGAGACATAAGCACATAAAAAGTCTCTGATGTGGTTGAGCACAACAAACGACTCCAAAAGATTGTTCCCAAGAGACTCATCGGAAAGGTCATACAAGTTTGATTGAAGAGAATCAGGAGAAGTTGAGAGCCGATGTTAGACAGATGTCGGCAGACAAAAAAAGAGACTCCCCTGATGACATGGAAGAGGAGTTTGTTGCAGTTAATCTGACGGAGACACGAGCCACTTTGTCTTCGCAAGAAGTGCCACCACCAAACAGCGAAGACTCCTCTGATGCAATAACAGGATGAACGAATCACTCATCTCAAGAAGAAAGTCGAGGAAATGATGACTGCATTGGCAACTCTACACAAACTGCCTCAAGTAGCACCAACACCGACTCTTGATACCTTTCAACCAAAGGTGGTCCATATCTTTGATGATAAAAGAGAATTAGCTGAAACTGAAGAAGACTGTCAAAATAAAACGGATTATATTCATAGTTGAGTCCCAAAAAAAGATAGATGGTCGAACAGAAAGTCAAGGAGACGATGGCCTAGTGAAGGCCGGATCTTTAGTTCTAAGGTTTAGACCCTACTCGAAGGAATTTAATTCCGTCTAATATCCTAAGGGTTTTATGCCACCTCTCTTCAAGGTGTTCGATAGGACAAGAAACCCTCACCAGTATGTTGCACACTTCTGCGCAAGTTGCTGCAACATGGGTGGTAGTGGTGCTCTCATGTTCCGTCAGTGTGTCAGCAACTTTACCGATGTCGTTGTTGACCAGTATGTCAAGCTTCCCAACAGGTCCGTTAAAACCTTCGCAAAATTAGAGAATCTCTTCATTCAGTGCTTCGTTGGGACCCAACACCATATTGCAGTTAGTGACCTGATCATAGAAAAATAGAAGTCGAGAGAATCACTCATTGATTACATTCTTCGGTAAAGGAACCTCGACATGAAGTGAGAATACAGCTTCAGGAACAGCACACCATCGAGATCCTGCTCATGAACATTCATGTTTAAGTGTTTTGCAATAAAGACATTTTTGAAACTACTCAGCAAAGCTGTGAATCTCTAGAAGGAGGTAAATTAGTTAAGTCTAATAGAGAAAGCAGAGAAACCAAAATTGACGAGGGCATTTGATAAGAATTCAATGAGTCTCTCTACAGTTAAGAAAGGTAAGAAACTAATGCATGTGCATCCAAAATAGAAGAGGCAGCGACAAAATGCCAGTGTGTCGCAACCACAACCGTCTTTACAGCTGCAGTTTCAATATTCAACCCAGCAGCTAACAAAAAAGAAAACTATAGTCGAGCGGATGAATAAAGAGTATTCTCTCATAACAGAGTTTGTCTCCAAGATATTCTATAGTTTGTTGAAGACACCAAAATTCAAGTTGTCTAAAGCTAAGTGGCCAGAAGAGGATGGTATGAAAGATCAACCGAACTATTGTGTCTACCACATGATGCTTGAACACAAGTTTCAAGATTGCTTCATCTTTAATGACTGGTTGGAATACAACTTCAAGGTAGGGAACATATTCATCTCGAAAGAATACTTGAAAGAGCCTGAAAGGGTTGGATCAATGAAATCTCAGTCGATGAATTTGTCCCTATGGACCCCTACAAAGATGAAGGCGGGTGAAACATGTCGTGGACTAGATCTTCTAAGAAGGTTCTCAACAGAATGCAAGATGCTTTACCCTCAGCGTCAACTTTGAAACCCCCACTTCCAAGGAAGAAAAGAAAAATAAAAAATAAAGTGAAGCAGAGAGGATTAGAGGCCATCTTAATCTAGGGGATATTATTCCTTTTGTACCTCTTATTCCTTCTATTGTTGTTCATTCTTCTAGATGGTTGTCTCAGATTTGGAGGAGAAATCCCACGATCTGTTGAGTTTGTATGACTTTTTCTTTGTTCCTCTGGGTAAGTTAATGCTAGGAATTTTGATTTCGATTACGTTTTGTCTATTTCTGATGATGATGCCTCTAAAAACAACCAATCCAATTTTGATCCCATAGACAATTCTTAAATCGTGCACGGTTTCGATGGGTCCGACAAAAATTAAAATGTCAATAATAATAACAATTGCGACATCAAAATTGAAGATGAAGTTATTATTCTTGATTTGTGTGGAGGACCAATTTTTGTAGAGTTGGAATCATCAAACTCAGAGACAAATGAGTCAGATGAAGCACTATCAAAAGAGGCTCCTCTTTTTTCACAAAAGCGAGAAGAAAAACTAATGTGAAATTGTAAAGCTGGAAAGTTCTACCTTTAAGAACAACTCCCAAAGAAAAAGGAAAATAGTTGGTTGTGCCTGAGGAAGCATTTCAATCGGCACAACAAAGACCAATTCAAGAGAAATTCCAACAAATCTCGCAATAAGGTGGACTACAACATTCTAGCACATTTAAGAAAACTGCCAGCAAAATTCAGCATTGATGATGTCGTAATCCTCTCCAAGAAATGAGGGAAGAATTAGTAAGATTTATCTTGGATCTCAAAATCTGCTTAGCTCAACTTGTTAATACTTCCTTGGATGAGGCTAATTCGTTAGAAGGGTTGACCAAGGTCATATTTTCTGATGATGATCTATTGTTTGGAACAACCGAACATAACCGTCCATAGTACATCTCAGTGAACATTGACAATGTCATGGTCTTAAGGGTGTTTATTGACCCTGAACTTTCAATCGACATTATGAATTGGAGAACAATTGCTTATTTGGACATTGATGCCCGAAAGCTAGCAATGTGTAAGATGATGTTATAAGGCTTCAGTCAATAAGGAGAAAGAGTCATGGTTTCAAATATATTACTTTCGAAAACCAGTGATTTGATGACAATAATAAAATTTTATGTCATAGATTCTGAGAAGTGCTTCAATACTTTTCTTGGTTGACCATGGCTCCAAGAATACAAGATAATTTCCTCATCGCTAGATCACTGTATCAAGTACTTGTACGAGGCAAAAGAGTTATGCATCAAAGGCGATTTGCAGCCGTTCTCAGTACAGGAGATCAGCATACATGAAGATATTGCATATTATGCCCATTAAAGTAGATTTTTTTCACTAGGAACATGGTGATGAATGCAGAAGAAAAAGATAAAAATGAGAAAATGAAAGAAGAAGACAATGAAGAAGAAAAGAAAATCAATGAATATCATGTTGTGTTGCAATCAAAATCAAAAGAAACTCGCATCTGAGGTCGAGGCCGAGCATGAGGACAAGGGAGAGAAAACCCGATCGTTGAAATAAAAAAAGCCTTAAAGATCAACATCAGCTTGGGCTCCAGTTTTGAAGAGAAAAAAGAGAAAAAGACAATAGTTGAGGTGACTCAAAAGGAGCCACAGTTCAAAATATCCCTCAAAGCCGAAGAATAAAAGAAAGAATAAATGTATGAAAGGATCAATCATTATGTACAGACTATGAACCTAACTCTGATTTGCTCAAATAAAATCGAGAGTTTGGTGGTCAAAGAA